TAAATAGATCACATGAAATGAACAGAAGAAGTAAATGAGAATGAATGATAAATATTTCAGGGAGTATGTTATGAGCATGTTTGAACATGAGTAAACCAAGTCGGTGGTGGTAGAGATAATTCAGTTTCAGAACATCAAGTTGGCAGATAAAGGAGTGGCATAATTATTAATTTGCATTATTCACAATACGAACAGCTTTTTTTCTGCAACGTTAAATGTTTCTTGATACCATGTACATGAAGCGTGACCACAACATCCGATGTGTAAACAAATGTAACATTGTCTTTACCAACAACAACATTCTAGGAGACTCACTCAAAGGTATGAGAAAGGGGAATTTAAGGATCACATCGCATGCCTCACTCGGAAGAGCAATCAATACAACCTCACAAGCTGTTGTATGAAAGTAAACACTTCACAGTGGTTTAAAACCATGCATTACCCAAACATCATCGATTTTCTTGAATCATGGTCAAAAATATTATTGAAAACGAATTCAAATGCAATCGATCACCATGTAGAATATGCTGCACGATCCTCAGCACGTGCATTTTTGTCAAAACGATGTAGATTTTGCTATTCTTGAGTTTAACTCGCCGTTGGTGAGTAGCGCCCGCTGTTGACCAATAGTGTACAGTGTGACAACAGTTTTTTATTAAAGGGCGAAACATCGCGGATCTGGGACAACGTACGTTCATTGCACTGTTTTGTGAAATTAAAAGTAAGACTTACCCATATATGTTTTTATTCAATCTACACAAATGGGACTTATCAATTTACTGGAGAATGTCCATTTTCGAAGGAATGCAGAGTAATTTGTAATCTTTTCCCTCGAAATTTGGGAAATAAAATTAATGATGTGGGCGACACAGGTGAAGTAATGTACGTTTTATTCAGTTGATTTTTAATTTTCTCGGCTGTTTGGTTTTAAGGAAAAGAGGGCGATCATGGAACATCATCAAAATGTTAATTCTAATTTTTTTTTATCAAAAAAAATAATAATCATCAGAAGTACTTTTTAACTTACTCTATTAAGTATCGATTAAAGCCTATGTTGGGCTTAGGAAGGTTTATAAAAGTTATCCGTTCCACGGTGTAAGGTGTTTCTTGCTCATGCGATCGCGAAATATGCCTGGTCTGACCGACCAGGAAACTCATCAAGTCACACTTTTTTGTTTGTCAATGGGCCACGTTTTGTAAACTTGTTTCCATTCACTGTTGATTCGATGTAGAATTTTCTCGGTGCATTGGGGTCCAGGATATCAATGGGCAACATATGTGAAGCTAGTAGTAGATCGGTGCCCGCGTTTTACTTTGAGATCCCTTTAAAAAAAATCCACATTTTGTAGCTTCGGCAAGTTTGTTTCTTATAGAAAAAACAACAGTAAAAAAGACCTTACAATTGAGACGAAAGGCTTTTACAGTTAATGGGCAAACCAGGTTTTGCTGTAAATGAAAGTCATACAGAATCGTACTGAACGCTTTCCCCCACTTCATAATGAAATAGAAAGGACCTATTCCCAAATAAACTGTGCTACAATTATACTCCAAAGTGGTAATTAAACACATGACATTTCGAATAAAAGTTAATGTCTGGCATGTGCAAATACCGATGGGTAACGAAAATAATATTTTCTTTATAAAACTTTACTAGACAATTTCGGACATTAGCTGCTCTACATGACATCAAAAGCCTACAAAGAACCTGTATGTGCGAAATTTTCACCTTTATTTTATGCCAAGGACACTCGGTAAAATGTAATATCTATGTACCTGCGGCATGTACATGTCCAATACGTGACGCGCGCTCACTACAGTGCAAGCAGATCAAAAAGGGAATTCCCCTCTTCATGGTTGTCAACAGAGGGCGCTGTTTTTCTTGCTCAGCCGCTGTATTCTGATCACCGGGCCGGCAAAACTGATCGATTTTTCGGAATGAAGGCGATTTTGTGGGATTTTGCGCTATTTTATTTTCACAGCCAGATAGTTGGTCTAACGATTTATGAAGAAAAAAGTGCAAAATACCCTGGCCGTTGGTGGCCGATTGCAAATGTGTCAAGTTTTGGTTTTGTAAAAAAAATTCTTAAAAAAGCGATTTACTCTTTATGTCTACCCTCATTTTACTGACCTCTTGCTATAGCTATCGATATAAATTATATATCAAACGAAAGACTGATAAAAGATTCAGAAAAAATGGGTTACAGAAAATAACAAGTTAAAGGCCCTGGACACAGCAACTTCTTAAATCTCATGAAGCCAAATTATAATCTGCCATTATTGAATAAAGAGGCATGGTAATAAAATGGAAATTTCGAAGTGAATTACACCTCAAAATAACTTTTTGGTGATTTGAATTATATCTTTAGACATGTCAGGTATAAGCAAAAACAAAAACTGGGGGAAAAAACATTGAGGTGAAATGTCCGAGTCTTAAACCACTGTGCACTTAGTATAAAAAAGGGGGAGGAAAAGTTGATTTGACACCAACTTCGGACTTACAAAACACATTATCAATATTGGTTTAATAAATGTAGATGGGTTGGATAAAATAATACTGTGATGTCCTTAATGTAAGCAATAGATGTATATTTTGATATCTGAAGAAAAAATGGGAAATATTATGAGGGTAATTTAAGAAGCAGCGTTGGATGAGCGTTGGATGAAAGAATTGCTGATGTTGCTGAAACGTACTTTGACAGTAGTTGGTGGTCTTCTGCGTTGTCACATATTCAAAAGTATTAGGTGGTACAGAAGGAAACTAGCTTTAGCATCAAGGATGTGCTGACGGAATACTGGGTGAGTAGGGATAGGGAAAGTATGACATGCAACATAATACACATAAGCACGTAATGCATCGTTCAAATTTCAGCCATAGTCCTACTTGGGCATTTTCAACATTTTTTTGGTCCTAGTAATCAGATTACTACCCAAAATCAAGAGCAAACATATTTAGAACACAATATCATTTCTCAGAGAAGACTGCTCTATGCCGTTGTGCGGTGACGGTGTTTGCAATAATTAGAACAGTTAGTTATGCAGCTGCATTAAATGGTATCCTTATTACTACATCGGTATAAAAACAGAAGGATGCGCAGCAGTGACCCACCATTTAAACTTACCTGTATATATTTTATTAACAGAGTGTAAAGTCTTTTGCAGGATACAAGCAAGTCGTTTGATTTTCGTAACACGTCTTTAAAGTGACTTGTCCAAACTCTTTTCAGGAATTGCTTTTAGAAATTTGTGACAAATGATCTACATGCAAGGTGTTTGAATTAGTAAAACATTTTGAATATAGCTTGTTGCTCGTTTTGAGTTATTTCAATAACAATATCAAATCAACTGTGTATTTATATACTTGAACTGCAGACAAAATGTGCTATTTGTTTGTAGGATGTTGTATTAACTGAAGTATACAAAAGGAGTTTCACATTTAATATTAAAGTTACGGCGACCATGGCGTCCATGGTGATGTCTGAACATCATGTGTGCCACCTTTGAACGACCTAGACAACCATTTGGCCTCCTTTGAGCCTCCAACAGCGACCTGGCCAGTTTTATGGTCGCACAAGGGAGGCCCAAAGGTCACAGCCCTGTGTAAAGGGGGTCTAACATGTAGACTAGTACGGTTTTATAATCTTGTTTCCAATCAAGGTTGCAGAAATAAAACCAAGATTATTCAGGCTGTGTGTATAAAACTCTTTTGTTGCCCTCCCTTTCAATAATGTACCCTTTTCTTCTCCACCTGTTTCTGACCCACTATTACCCCCTCCTCCCCATTCAATCTAATACTCTCCTTTGTTCCACCCCCCTTACAGCACACTCCCTTCCATCTACCCCTCATCTGATCCTTGCCACTACACCCCTTTGTTCCCTTATCCCTTGATCTTCACCATACTAGTCTTCCCCCTCCCCCATCCCTATTTAGTGTTTCTCCTTCCAACCCTGCATACTTGTGTGTCCCCTACATATGTGTTTCTAGTTCCTCCGTCTTTTGCCTCTGACGAAGGCCTTGCTAAGCTGAATCATTCAGACATCAGGCCATTTTAGCTTTTGATTTAAAAATAAATATAAAAATATACTCTTTGTTTTGCAACTGGTTTTTACTTTTTTTTAATAACTGAAATCGGTAGGTACTGAAAAATAAAATACCTCGACGGTGTCTGAAAATACACCCAGAATTTCATATTTCAAAGACATATATAACAGAGGTCATGCTGTTTTAAGCAGTCAGACAAAAACAATTCTTTAAAAATATCTTCAAGAAACATATCGGCTTATTTTTTTCTTCTTGAGAACAATATGTTTTTTTTTGTCAATACTCCAAACTCGAACACGTTGATAATAGTATACGCAACCACTTATGCAGTTTTCACGACTGTTCTATTGATCCTTAATTTTCCTGGACCCTTATTATGTTGCTAGTGCTCTTGTCTTCTAATGGTAACCATGACAATTTAAATGACAGACGATAGAAGTACCATTGCTAGGTCTATGTGTAGTATCCACATATTAAGAACAATTGTGCAGGGAATGGTTGAGTGGGTGGAAATAGTAGCTTAATTGTGGCTGAGGGACAGATAAAACAAAACAAAAACAAAAATAACAACGTCACCGAGACAACCTCTGAAATACATGAAACCAGAAGCATGTGACCAGAAGCAACCAATCACTCGTTCCCACGTCCATTGGCAAGAGCGTACGACCGTGGTATCTACTCATCACTACAGTAATAAGAACACTTCAGTGTTGCGCATCAATTGGACTCATAGACTACTGAAAATCAATCGCTTTTGCGGAAAAATCGCAGTCTTGACAGGGCCATCTACAGCAATTCTCTGTATACTCGTATACCACATGGTTTTCTGCAAGATGATTACATTTTCAGTAACCCAGGACTAGACCTAGTTACATCTGCTGAACAGAAAAATAATTTTGGGATGGAAACTTCATGTCTCTATGACCCTGGCAGAGAGATTCTCATCATAAGTTTAGTAATCATGACAGTTCTAGGTCTTGTTAATGGATTCCAAGGAGATCACTGTGGAAACCGCAAACACATTTTTATTGCTGCAGAAAATCGTGCACTTCAGACTTCTACATTAAGAGAGGAGCAGGTCAAGTCTGCTGTCCGCTGTGTTAGCTACTGTCATGCTGATAACAACTGTCGATCTGTGAATTATCATGAAACAGATCAACTTTGTCAAATGAACAATCTGACAAGGATGCAAAATCCTGCTGATTTCTTTACACACTACGGCAGTGTGTACTTTGATGATGATGTACACACATCTCTATTCTCTGTGCCGCAGTTCAGAGGTTGTGATGAGGTCCTTCAAGCTGGTCATAATGTGAGTGGTATCTACACGATATTCACAGCTGGATTCAATGATGGGCTACAGGTCTACTGTGACATGGAGACTGATGGAGGGGGATGGATCGTCATTCAGAGGCGTCAAGATGGCAGCGTTGACTTCTACCGCAACTGGGCTGACTACCAGGTTGGCTTTGGCAGCTTGTCTGGTGAGTTCTGGCTTGGGAATGACAACCTACGCAGCCTGACTGAGACTGAAGGTAAGTGGCAACTTCGAATTGACTTAGAGGACTGGGAGGATAACACGGACTGGGAGAATAACACGGCCTGGGCTGAATATGACGACTTTCAGATTCATGGAGACAACTACACACTCCAAGTCAACTCATACAATACCCACAGCACTGCAGGAGACTCGCTCACATACCACAATGGAACGATGTTTTCAACTAAAGACAAGGACAATGATACATTTAAAAAGAAATTATGTGCCAAACTGCGCAAAGGTGCGTGGTGGTATATACGTTGTTATGAATCTAATTTGAATGGACGATTTGGGCAAGGAACCAATAGGGATGGTATAGTATGGAAATCGTGGAGGAAAGATTACTATAATCTGAAAAGCTGTTCGATGAAAATCAAACATTTTGAAAAACAGGAAAATAAGAATGTTAAAGATGAAGACATTTGATTTGTATCCATTGATAAGTTCCATGGGGGGCAGTAAAGCTGTTATTTGTGATCGATTTTTGGCAAGACATATTTTTAACGGGAAGTGACAAGGTTTTTAATTGAGGGTATAAACAAATGAAAAGAAAGTTGTGGTACGTTTCTTTTCACAAAATGCGGACACTGAATATATGATAGCATTTTGACAAAATATAGTAGGCCTAAGTTTTTGGTACGAATAAAGTGAGAAAGAAAAAAAAAAGGTAAATATCAATTCCCCTCCCAGAGATGGGAGGTTAGGCTACTGAGTACTACGTTGGTATTGGTGAAATTAATGTTTGATGCTCATGAAATAATTTGTTTGTTGAGAAAAGGATGTGCACCTGTGTTTTTGTCACTATGTTGGTACAATTAATGTATCTGTGTTGGATGAAATGACGGACATATACTATGCTGATATTGCATTAGATTATACAACTTTGTGTATTTACATAATTGGTAAAATTTTTAAGAAGAAATGTATGCGCTTGTGTTGAAAATGACTCAATTGGTACCATGTTGATACAATCAGTCCATGTAGATAATTTGAAAGAATTATTGGTGCCTTTTCAAGAAACTAGTGTAAGCGGTCATGAGAAGTTGTGTTAGCGGTCATGAGAAATGTAATACATGCAATTGGTGATGTTGGAATAATTCTTTCTAAAAAAAACAAGATCGTTAACAGAACAACGTTTACACAACGAATTTCCTTTTTTTCGTCAATTCAATTCTTAATTATTTCATATTAAATAAAGGAATAACTCTTAAAAGGAGAAAAACAGTGATTTCTACATTTCACTAACATTTTTAGTTTGATATCTAGTTCCAACATATTATATTAATATAGGTTTTCTCGGTCAATTTCGGCAAATGAGCAGCCAATTTAACCACTATGCTATTCTATTTCGCGCGAAATCAAATGCTACTGAAAAGGGTCATTCGATTTCGTTTTATGACCAGTCAAATGTACTGTTGCGTCATTCGATTTAACAAAATAATCATGCAATTTAACAATTCAACAAAGCAACATTCTAATTCGCAGGAGCTTTTTGAGGCGTGTGGTTAGTCATTCAAATTCATTTTTGGGCAGTCATTTCTGGAATTTGTGCAATCTAAAAAACGCTTTCTTAAATTTTTGTTTCCTTAAGAATGCTGAAGGCATAATTACGGTTCACTTTTTGGTACTTGAGTCACTTTGCCGATGTACTTCGAAGACGAGCTTTCGCTACAGTTTTACACGCATATTTCTAGAAATGGCAGCTCGTGGTCGCTACGCTAGAGTGGCCCAGGTAGATCGAGAAAGGTTGATTGAGGCCTTCGAGGGAAACGAGCAAAACTACCTCGAGCTTGCGGTCAATTTGAACATCAACAAGTCCACAGCCAGATCAATTGTTGCAACATAGTTGAGGACTGGAAGGCGAGAGACGCTGGCAAGAGGAGGAGCAACCCACAGCAAGATGGATGATGAGATGCGAAACAATCTGCAGGGCATCCTTGACGCTAATCCCGTCTTGCCACTTCAACAAATGAAGGCTAGTTTGAGTGAGATCTGCCAGAGAAGTCCCAGGTCCATAGCCAGGGCCTTGGATGGGATGATGATTACACTGAAACTAGTGGAGGACGTCCCTGATGCAAGAAATTCCCCTGAAGTTCTTGATCAACGCGTCCAGTATGGTGAGTACGTGGTTCCTGCAGCATGGTGTTCTGGCGCATCTAGTCTTCATTGACGAGACAGGTTATAACGTCTGGACTCGACGCTCCCAGGGTAGAGCTCCACGAGGGATCGCTGCAAGACGAGTCGTCGACAGACAACGAGGGAGAAATTGCAATGTCACCTTCGCTGTTTCTAGTGAAGTAGGCTTGGTGCACCACCGAATCGCATACGAAACTGTGACGCGAGAGAGATTCGAGGAGTTTCTTGCGGACACAATTCAAGAGTGTGATGCAGTTTTCCCAGACGACGAACCCATTTACCTCATATACGACAATGCGAGGCCTCACGTGCGAGCCCAACTCCCTGAAGGTGCCAAGCCAATGATCCAGCTGAAGTGCCTCCCTCCCTACTCCCCATTCCTGAACAGCACGGAGATGGCACACTCTGCATTCAAGGCTGCAGTTAAACGCATCCTTGGGTTACCTGAATGGCAACAACGTGTCGGAGACAGACAGGCTGCCCAGCAAGCAGGAATGAACATGCAGCAGTGGAGGTGCGATCTCCTTCAACAAGCAGCCATCCAGAGCGTCGATGTCATCACCCAAGTGAAGTGCATGCAGTGGTACAACCATACCCAAACATATATGCCAAGATGTCTGGCACGCCAACAGATTGATGGTTGAGGAAGAAACAACATAAACAATAAAAAACAGGAAAAACATAAAGAAACACCCCATTCAAAAACAATACAAAATTAGGTCTTGGTCAGTTATCCAAAAAAGATTCTCCCCCCCCCCAAAAAAAAAAAGAAATGAAGAAGAAAACAAAGAAGAAGAAAAAACCTCATTGGCCCCATGTAAAGTCTACTGGAAGCATAAATAAAGAAAACAAGGTTTGCCTGAATTAAAGTGAAGATACGAAACAGTTGCCTAGTACAGTTTATCTGTTTATTCGTATTTCTTTAGTCGTACTTATTTGAATTCTTTTTAAGCGAAATTGATTGCCTCTTTACGAAATTGAAAAAAAATTAAATCAGTAAAATCTCCAGTCGAACCAGCTTTGCTAAATTGAATGATGATTGTGTGTCACGAAAAAGAATGACGATATGCTAAATTGAACACAGTGCTACAGAAATTTGAATGCCTCAAAACGAAATTGAATGGCCGAATTCTGAATTTGAAACGCAGTAACAACTGGAGAGGCAAAATAGCTTCAATTCGAACGCACAAAAATTAAATTGGCTGCTCATTTGCAGAAATTGACCGAGAAAACCTATATTAATTCAAAGGTCATGTTCGTGTAGAGGCATTGACAAAATAATATGGAGCTTGTCCAAGGGACCTTATATTCATTGATTTCAATGCCTACACATGATGACGTCACAATGAGACATTAATTAATTCCAATAATTTCCAGTTCATTAGAAATCCACGTCTGGTTGGTAAAGACAATTTTAGAGCAGCAACTGACTACATTAACCATAGGGGTGCCATATAAACACTTTTCTTTTTAAGATGACGAAGTTCCTATCAGGAACATATGACCATGAACATCCAATCAGCGTTCCTCACATCCACCATAATTAATTGACATGCTCTAAATGATTATAAGATGGAATTTTTGCGTCGGGGTGATATAAATCAAATATGGTTTTGCCCTTCACCGACGTTTGAACACTGTATACTCAGTGTGTTACCTCCCGAGTGAAAGTTGGAAAAAAATCACTCGGGTGGGACTCGAACCCACGACCTCCTGCTTTCTGGTTCAGATGTCTTACCACTCGACCACCGAGCTAACAGGATCGGTTGGTCGGTTCGAATCTAATGTACCAGTAATTACAGCTGAACAGTCTGTCCTTGAGATGTTGATGTTCATGGGGATGTGAAGGAAGTGATTGAAAGTTAGGAATCACTTGTACCTGCTTAATTGTGTCATGCGAGTGCTCTTCGTGTTTGCTTCATGCCATAAATTACAACATGGCAACAGAATTTGTTATTGTCACAATCAATTAAAACAATTGGAAACAACATAATTTAAAGAAGGGGAAAACCTTATTTGATGAACTCCATATATTTTTGCCGTTTTTTTAATTTTTACTTTTTTTAATATTGTTTGACTACTTTAAAGTGTAAATCTGATGAAGAAACTCTAACTTAGGAGTACGACAATGTGTACTAGTTTTTGCAAAACTTGAACATGTAGAAACTTGACAAAAGTAAAAAGTTAAAGGTGGATGTTTCATCTGTTATAGGAACTCGGACCCTAAACCCCACAGCCACCCCTTGGTTTCAGCAATGACCACTAACGGATATTTAAATGCAACTTTAATTTTACATTGGACCTCATTGTAAACCTGATTCGAAAAAAAAAATTTGGAGCAAGAAAATATTGATTTATTTTTTAAAATTTCAGTCATGGAATATAGATTTGTACATGTAGACCAAAACATTGAGAGATGGTAGCCAGATATGGATTGGTCTGCCCCCCCATCCCTCTTTGTGATTCTCCTTCCAACCCTGCATGTCTGTGTGTCCCCTACATGTTTGTTTCTTGTTCCTCTGTCATTTACCTCTGAAGAAGGCCTGGCTAAGGCTGAAATGTAATGCCACTTTATTTTTGTTTAATGTCAATAACGTTACATATACTATAGAAGATAGATGAACCATATTTGCCTGATCTATCTTCTGTTAATCTGCCCGCCGTCATCGTCGTCATTAGCATATTTGAGAATATGGCCCACACAATAGAAGGGCGCTGTCACAAACTGAATGTGGTGGGTGAGATGTACTTTTAGGATTCATGGCTCAGTGCCCACGCCTCTCTGTGTTTTGTACCGTGCCATCGTATCGCCCGCATCAGCTACTTTGCTGGGCAATTTACTTGAATATTTTAGTGATTAACAAGTACGACATATTGCCAATTTATTAATAGTTTATTATGATGTCCGTAAACAGCATATTGACATTTAGGAAGGAGACGAGGCAGGCAATTATACTCTATTTTTGTGTGACCATGGCAGTAGCTCAATTTGTGTTTATCACAGATGAAAAGATGTATATATGGCGAGTCAAAATGAAAGTGACCGTATGATAAAAAAAAATGGCAGGCTCCATTTTGTAAAAAATATAATTTGGATAAAGAACATGTTATTGAGTAGTTATTGTGAACATTTCACGTAATTTGCATACTCTATTCCCAAATCGTGTCTATTTCAATAAAGAGATCACAAAATTCAGCTGTCCACCACTAATACCAATTTAACGGTCTACGAATTGATGAATATCCATTAATAAATATAATGAAAAAAAAACTTTTTCCCGCCTCCACGAATAAAGGAAAAATTGAAAATGAAAATAGAAAAAAATCACCAATATTTCTAGGGAAAAAGAGTTGAATTGTTCCCCATATTCAAAATACAAAATCTGACGGTAAAAATAATGTTTCAGTCTTGATTCATTAGATTTAAATCTCAGTTGTATTTAGAATCAATGAGGATGGCTGTAAGTGCTTGTTTCATCAGATCATCCAACAATAAAAACGAGAAATAAGAAGAGGAGCAATGGTTATTGGACTATGCCTCACTCACTAGAAAGTGAAGAGAGACATGTCCATAAGCATCACACTGCAGTCACATCTGCCCTAAACTGATTCTTTACTTAACCCTAAAAGGGCCGGGGTGCGGAATCCACCCCCCTCACTTTTTGGCTGGTCTCGACTCGAGACCAGCCAAAATATCGAGACCAAAGGGGACCTAGACAAAGACCGAGACCACAGCTCCCGAGACCGAGACCGAGACCGAGACCGGCAAAAAGTGGTCTCGAGACCGAGACCGGTCTCGAGACCAACAACACTGTAATGTACATAGCAGCAGGTACCGAATAAACTATTATAAGATGGAATTTAGCGTCGGGGTGATATAAATCACTGAATAAGGCAGTAAATGGAGCAATCTTGAGCTGTTTTATATTGTTTGGTGATAACTGTTACGTGATATCTTGTTTGAAAAAAAAATGTAGCTGTGTAGCAAGAACTAATGCATATTTGTAGTATGAATACATTAAGTATGTGAAGCTGTGTAGGACTATGTTATATATTGGTCATATTTTTTTTTTTTGCAGTTCTACTGAATGCACCAATAGGTTGCAATCTTTAAATTAAAGTGTGCACCTTTGTAGGATAAAGTTTATGCAGATTAATTTTAGGGAAAGTAGATTATTAGTGTTATTGATATGTGTAGATGTTTTTAAAAAGAACTTTTACAAATGATATGGACATTAGATAATGTAACTGTGTAAGATATAAGGCTGTACAATGTCGAATAATTTAGTATCGATTACTCGAAACTGCGTTTGACCGAAAATTTGGATTTTCGAAACTTCTGGCTGCAACTGCGGGCCGCGCCGGTGAAAAGTTGCACAAAGAGCGCGCCAATTAATATTTGCGTGCGGCAATCGAGTACTTTGCAGTTAGTATTATACATGTACAGGGTGAGTAGAAAAAAAGAAACCCAAATGTCGGGACTATTGTTTTAGTGAAGTTCTGCATAAAGCACCTTCAAAATGTAGGATTTAAAAGCCCAATTCATAAGCTATCAGTTAGTACAAGAATCATTCAAATCACTGATGTACTGTGACGAAACAGGGGTACAGGTATATGCAGACTTGTGTAGGAGTCTAGGTCATAGGAATTATTTATGCGCGTGATCTAGGACATCCGGTGCGTGCTTATAATGCCGAAGTGCGCGTGGACCAATCAGCAATAAATTGTGCTGCGTGATCAGGAGATTAATAATTCATGGTGTACAGGGACCAATCAGCACCGCGTATTATGCAGGCTGTGCGCGAATTAGCATGCTGTGGCGTGGGGTCCTGGGATCATCTCTTTAGTTCGCAAGATGGCGTCAATGCAGTAGGAATGCGTTCTGGTGCTGTTGCCAAGTCGCAAGAAGCCAAGCTTCGGGGTTCAGGGACGAGTCAAGTCGCGGTGCCGTTGCTGGGGTCTTCGTTGCTGTTGCGTACTCGGTCGGGAGTAGGAGCTCATCTCTGACGGTGGACGCTCTGGTGCGGCTGGGTTCGGGAGTTGATGCTCTGGGTTTAGCTAGCAGTAAGCTAAGTGTTGTCTAGTAATATATTGAATGAAGTTGTAGCTCAAGGTCTGTTATTCAGTGTCGATTATCTAAGATAATTGGGGACAAAGATTTAGATGGAATACTAGCCGTGAAATAAAGGCTGATTATCGTGATTGCTTGTCGTGGGTTGGACACCATTCGGTGGGGTTTTACGACAGAGGCGATCATTGCCGTAATCATTGAACTAGCTTGCCTGGCGAGTTTACTCTTTGCCGTGTTCTGAGCACTTGTGAGGGTTACCTGTTTCGTGTGAGGGTTATTTGGGTTACAACCTGCTTTGACGCTGAATTGGGTTGAGGGAATGAGGGTTACCTTTCCTCTGTGAGGTTTATTGGGACAGCTCAATCTGTGAGAGGGTTATTGGAACTGTGACACAGGGATTATAATTGTATAAGTTCATTATCATGTGGTGCAGTTGACCACGTGAGGGTTACCTAAGGCGACGTTTACTACAAAGGGTGCAGTTGAACCTTGTTACAAGCAGTGAGGGTTACTGTCTATATGTGAGATATTCCTCGCCTCGTTAATTGCTGTTATTGTGCATTATTGTAGAATATTGTTAAGCTGCAATTATTTACAATAATCTTTTGATGATTGAGATTCTTGAATAAACCTTATCGATAATCGTCTTTGGAATCACTAGTCTCTGTGAGGTTTACTCAGGTTCTCTGTGAGGGTTACCATGTTCACTGAGGGTTACCTAGGTCTGCCGTGAGGGTTACCTGAGTTCACCTTGAGGCCTATTGTCGCTACTTGTATATTGCTCTAATTACATTCAATTGATTACTCAATCACAAAACGGTGGTATATTTACACCAAACGAACAGCCCCTAGGCTTAGTCCGCCGTTCGTTAATTGTCCCCCCTTGCGTATGGGTAGCCGCTCACCCGTTCGTTAGGCTAATAAATATTTTTGTGGGATAATAGGAGTTGGCTAGAGTCGTGGGATAAATAAGACCAGTTTCCCCTGGGTTCCGCCAATCACCGGTTCCGCCACAAATAGTGTCAGGGGTCGGTTTCGCCACAGTACTTTTCAAGTTACGGAATTTTAAACACAACCACCGTTTTAAAGTTCTGTCCACAGATCACACAAAAGGTGTGCGTTCTTTCAGCAAAATGAAAACAATTCACACACATCACTATGTGATTTGTTTTCGTTTTGCTGAAAAAAGCACTTACCTTTTTGTGATCCGTGGACAGATTTTTCAAACGGTGCTTGTGTTTAAAATTCCGCAACTTGAAAAGGACATAAGTGATTTGAATGATTCTTGTACTAACCAACAGTGGTCCCAACATTTGGGTTTCGTTTTTAATCACCCTGTATAACTGTAAAGGGTTAAAACCTCATAAAAGGAAGTGAACAATGAACCACCGTCAACCAAAAGGTTCCCGTCGACAACAATAAAACACCGCAACTTTACTATAAAATAGCATCACAGTCGTGTGTGTATTTAAAACTATTAATTTATTCACAGAAAAAACACACACATTATATCAAGTGAAAAAACTTAAATTCTACTTTTATTAGATTAGTAAACGGTTGGTACTATGTTGCTAATATTACTGAGGGAAACTATATCTAGAGGGCTTTGTTACATTGCTTTAGTGGTACTTTGTAAAAAGCAGTAAGCATAGACCTTATGCGTTTGAGAGGCAGAGAGAACGAGGGCTAGGCTGTTTGTGTTGCTGAAATAGGCATTAGCAAACCCTTCTGAATTATAAACAAAGAAGACCGTCTTAGATGCCTGCAATGCATAAGGTCTGTTATTTGTTAATGCAGATTAAAAAAATCTTTGACAAGTTATTTTGCATGAGAGTATAGCCAATTTATAAGCCAGATGGTTTCTTATGTTCTCAATGTCTGAAAGTATTATCTTAAATAGAAGTCAATTTATCGTGGTTCTACACATTTACTTTGTCTTGATGTAAGGATGTTTAATGGCACATTTAACTGCACAAGTATGTTTACAAATCTGAATCAATGGTTGATCCAGGTTTTTGAATTGAAATAATATGGAAATATTTGATAAAAATTGGAATAACAAAACTCGGGGCAATTGGGTTATTTGCATAAACTTAAAATAACTTTTATTTAGAAGAAAATAATCCATTTATTTCTTTAAGTAAAGATTTAGTGTCTTGATCCACCAATGATGAGGGTATATTTAACAATATTTTCAATAGTTCAGACTTTAATTATTGCACTGATAACATGAGATAAGTATAACAAATTTGTCGAAATTTGCACAGCACCTAACATTTTTGTCACTGACTCCTGCAATTCTTGATATAAATTAACACCGATTTCAATTCAATAACATTTTTTCCATCATTGGAAAGTTTTTTTTACTCACCCTGTATAACTGTAAAGGGTTAAAACCTCATAAAAGTAAGTGAACAATGAACCACAAAGTTCCCGTCGACAACAAAAAGTGGCGCCTGACAATAACACACCGCAAATTTACGATAAATTAGCATCACAGTCGTGTGTGTATTTAAAATTATTAATACATTTGCAGAAAACAAAACACACATAATATCAAGTGAAAAAAACTTAAATTCTACTTTGATTATGTTAGTAAACGGATGGTACTATCTTGCTAATATTACTGATGGAAACTATGTCTAGAGTGGCTTTGTTACATTGCTTTAGTGGTACTTTGTAAAAAGCAGTAAGCATGGACCTTATGCGTTTGACAGGCAGAGAGAACGAGGGCTAGGATGTTTGTGTCGCTGAAATAGGCATTAGCAAACCCTTCTGAATTATTGTAACTGAATAAAAAAAAACCCAAAGAAGACTGTCTTAGATGCCTGCAATGCATTAGGTCTGTTATTTGTTAATGCAGATTAAAAAAATCTTTGACAAGTTATTTTGCATGAGAGTATAGCCAATTTATAAGCCAGATGGTTTCTAATGTCAGTGTATTGTGGTTCTACACATTTACTTTGTGTTGATGTAAGGATGTTTAATGGCACATTTTACTGCACAAGTATGTTTACAAATCTGAATCAATGGTTGATCCAGGTTTTTGAATTGAAATAATATGGAAATATTTGATAAAAATTGGGATAACAAAACTCGGAGCACTTTTGTTATTTGAATAAAATTAAAATAACTTTCATTTTAGAAGGAAATAATCCATTTATTTCTTTAAGCAAAGATTTAGTGTCTGGATCCACCAATGATGAGGGTATATTTAACAATATTTTCAATAGTTAAGACTTTAATTGTTGCACTGATTACATGAGATAAGTATAACAAATTTGTCGAAAATTTGCACAGCACCAAACATTTTATTAGACAGGATGTCACTGACTCATGCGATTCTTGAAAAAAATCAACACCGATTTCAATTCAATAACATTTTTTCCATCATTGGAAAGGTGGAAGAAAATATTTATAATCATTAGAACGGTAACATATCCATCAGAGCACGGGTAAATGATAACTTGTGATTTCAGTAAAAACCAGAAAATAAAGAAAAGTGTGGTGTTCAATTCCTTAGCTACCTGTAGTGGTGTATGGAATAATGCTTATACCAAGCAAGATGAGGAATCAATAAATGTTCAGTTGACACCAGTCTGGCATATTTGTTTCAACAATTTTTCTATTTTGCAGTTGTTCTCTTTCTGCCTTCGGGAAGGCCTACTTAGGACGTCCTAGTATGTCCCGCCCTCATCATCAGCCTAGCTCCGCCCCTCAGGTTGATGTACTTCATAAATATTCAACAGGTGAATTTGCGTCTCAAAGCAAATAGCATAATAACCCTTCTTAAGCATGTATGTCAGCCAAATAAGCAGAATAAATGGATTAGAATGATTTCCCATAGCCATTAGTCTTCGCATGCTCCACAGCGGATTCTTCCAAGCATATATAAAATTCGTATGATGTATTTACGATGGGTATCTTGGAGATGCCAAATAACCCTTGAAGAAAACATTCATAAGATGGAATTACTGATAAAGAGGTAATATTAAAAAAAAAAAAAAAAAAAAAACATGCCAAGATTCGTTTCAGGAATTTTAGCTCCATTCAATGGGAAAAATAAGATTGATGAAAATATACAATTCAAAGTGACCAAGGCTTCAAACGAACTTTGATTGATAACCCTTGGTGTAACCCGTGTGCGAACGTTTTCCGAGGGTGGTAAAAGGATATCATTAACATTTCTGCTTTTTATTGGTTGGGTCTTATCTTGCACATACTGAATTATTCATGACATACGTGCGCTCTTGCATGGCTTTGCGATCGAGGATAGACACACAAAGGAGAACGAAAGATCCTTTCAGTCCTCGAGTGCTTAGTCTATGGGAGAGTGTAATATTACAGGGACAAAGGGAATCACAAATCATTGTCCTTGAGAGTATAGAAATTCGCGACTGTGCGTGCACACTACACACACTGTAAATATAGAGTGGGTACCGTGGGGATACGCTCAAGAGCCATACATGATTTATAGGGAGATATTCAGATTATTTTATCCCTACCTCTTCGAAATTTATTGGAAAAGAGGTGAGCTAATGTTTCTTGGCTTACAAATTGTTTTGTAAATTAAATACAAATAAAGACAGCGGAGCAGAGTAAACATGACTTTGGCACTTTAAAGGTACAAACATCCATTGGATCTTTCTTGAAAAGCTATCATCGTTTTGTAAATATTAAGTTGCAAAATGAAGGTTTAGCCTAGCATAATTCCTTTCAACACCATCATGATACAACTTTTCTTGAAAAGTGCGTGACAATAATTTACAATAGTCAAAATAATAGACAGTGGGTTATAGAACACATGACTTTTGTTATTATATATCAAGAATTTAGTGATCCTCTTTTCACATAAACATTGTGGCATTGGTAAATTGAAATATAATTATTTACAAAATCATTGTCTAAGCTTATCAGACTGAACAAAGTTTCTTGGGAATCCCTTTTGAGATACCATTTCAATACTCATGAATATAAATATCATGACCCTGCCAATATTGGCCAATCACACTCAAGTTTACAAGCTCGTGCTCCCAACACACATCTCTGACCAATTACAATCGTTCCTCTTGTCTTCAGGACTGGTACCTTCAAAACAATTCTAAGTATTTGGGTTTTATAGATTTCATGTTACTTAAACGTGACTTCCGGTTTGAGACGTCATCAGTTGAAAATTCGCAAAATGAAAATTCAGTTAGTTAAGACAGGACTCATCACATTAGAAAATTACTTGGGCAGTTCACTATAGTAGGGCATTAACCTAAATCGACTAAACGACTGCAGCGACTACAAGACATTAGTGCCAGACTAATCTCTATCACTAGTAAACATTCTCAGATCACTCCTGTATTAGCAGATCTCCACTGACTTCCAGTATTACACAGAATCAAATACAAACTTGGCCTATTCGTTTACGAAATTCTCCACAACAATGCGCCGGAGTATCTCATCGAGCTCATCCACCCGTACTCAACAGTACGTGCCGGACTTCGCTCCAGTGAGCTCATGATCTTCACGAGCCCAGGACCTCCACTCTATGGGGTGCCAGATCCTTTACTGCAGCGTCAGCCCGAGTGTGGAACCAACTCCCTCTAGCTATCAAATCATCTCCATCCATCACAACATTTAAGACTAACATAAAATCTCACCTGTACAAACAAGCTTACTCTCACAACACACAATCCTTACTTGACTTTCTCCTCAAGCGCCGTGAGCACCTTTTTAGGTGGATACTGGCGCTTTACAAATGTTTTTTATTGATTATTATTAGAGTGAAAAATCTTTTGAAAGTATATAAATGACACAAATGTATGGATCAATAGCACTTTACTTCCAGTTTGATGACGTTACAGCATATTCAGTGTAGCTGACATAACAATATTCGTGCCATTATGATGCCACGAACATCTTCACTGGATACAAATTAATCAAATGATGAATTTGATTAATTCGTAAACACTGAAAATTGATCATTTTCTGATTCTCCTCATACTAACGTCCGGTTTGATGACGTCATGATGACGTGAAACTTCGCAAAGTCATTTGCGTTTGTCCAAAGACTATCTAGGACCAATTTAGTAAAACAAAATTGCCAACTAGTTTTGAAATTTTAAAAAGTTCAACTTTCTATGACGTGCCGCTAGGGGGCCCCGTTCAAGTGAAAACGTCATCATGCCTTTTTTGTATTTGGCATCTCTAATAACATTTCCACGATTTGTTTGATTGTAAGTTAGATTCCTGTCTATTCCTGCATTAATTGTACGTCTGATATTCCCGCATGCTGGTCTGTTCCTGTCAAGTAAGAGACCAGAATGCGCTGATTTCGAGCTGCTGCAAAATAATAATGGCCTAATGGCCTGATGAACAGGGGTAATATTAGCAAAGCGCTTTGAGACCTTTGGTATAAAGCGCTATATTATCACCACATTTTTATTATAACAGCTTTGTGGTGTCTCTACCACCTGACACGCAAATGCAAAAGTAGTGAAAAAGTAATGAGCAGTAAAGCATTGACGCACGATCTACCTGCTTTGATACACACTGTTTAACCATCAGAACCATGAAAATAGCATGATAATTGAAAATGGTGACTATTTTATTCACCCCTTAATTTTAGATTTCTGTGTAATGATTACTAGAATTAAAGTAAAAGACTAAAACCTTACATGAAAATTCAAGCCTGAGATATCTCACATTTACATATCTCATATGTGGTTGATCACGAGCATCCATCAAATATAGAGCAAGGCGAGGGAAACTGCCGCTCTAACAAAGGACGCCTTGGCGATGACATGTGAATCAACTCCTGTCAATTACCATTAAGTGAACTGCACGGTATTGTCCAGAATGCAATTTACGTCTAGGAGGTTTATTGAATTGTGTTCTGTAACCATTTCTAGAGAGCAGGAAATAATTGGAATACTAGAACGCAATATTAATTCTGAGGCCATACCTTACGTTTGGAGATGAGGGAATCAATTTAAGGCTTACACATGTGACTTGAAGCGGCCAATCAGCTTTCTCCGCGTAGGCCTACATGTCAAGAACTTGTGACAGTGATATTATTTATATTTATTTATAAGCATCGGTTCTCGGATTTATACACATAAGCACGCAATGCATCGTTCAAATTTCAGTCATAGTCCTACTTGGGCATTTTAAACATTTTGTTTTGTCCAAGTAATCAGATTACTACCCAAAATCAAGAGCAAACATACTTAGAACAATATCATTTCTCAGAAAAGACTGCTCTATGCCGTTGTGCGGTGACAGTGCTTGCAATAATTAGAACAGTTAGTTTTGCAGCTGCATTAAATGGTATCCTTATTACTACATCGGTATAAAAAAAAACAGAAGGATGCGCAGCAGTGACCCACCATGTAAACATACCTGTATTCAATTCAATAACAGAGTGTATAGTCTTTTGCAGGATACAAGCAAGTCGTTTGATTTTCGTAACACGTCTTTAAAGTGACTTGTCCAAACTTTTTTCAAGAATTTGTGACAAATGATCTAATAGCAAGGTGTTTGAATTAGTAAAACATTTTGAATATTGCTTGTTGCTCGTTTTGAGATATTTCAATAACAATATCAAATCAACTGTGTATTTATATACTTGAACTGCAGACAAAATGTGCTATTTGTTTGTAGGATGTTGTCATAACTGAAGTATACAAAAGGAGTTTCACTTTTAATATTGAAGTTACGGCGACCATGGCGTCCATGGTGATGTCTGAACATCCTGTGTGCCACCTTTGAACGACCTAGACAACCATTTGGCCTCCTTAGAGCCTCCAACGGCGACCTGGCCAGTTTTATGGTCGCACAAGGGAGGCCCAAAGGTCACAGCCCTGTGTAAAGGGGGTCTAACATGTAGACTAGTACGGTTTTATAATCTTGTTTCCAATTAAAGTTGCAGAAATAAAACCAAGATTATTCAGGCTATGTGTATAAAACTCTTTTGTTGCCCTCCCTTTCAATAATGTACCCTTTTCTTATCCACCTGTTTCTGACCCACTATTACCCCCTCCTCCCCATTCAATCTAATACTCTCCTTTGTTCCACCCCCCTTACAGCACACTCCCTTCCATCTACCCCTCATCTTATCCTTGCCACTACACCCCTTTGTTCCCTTATCCCTTGATCTTCACCATACTAGTCTTCCCCCTCCCCCATCCCTATTTAGTGTTTCTCCTTCCAACCCTGCATACTTGTGTGTCCCCTACATATGTGTTTCTAGTTCCTCCGTCTTTTGCCTCTGACGAAGGCCTTGCTAAGCTGAATCATTCAGGCCATTTTAGTTTTTGATTTAAAAATAAATATAAAATATACTCTTTGTTTTGCAACTGGTTTTTACTTTTTTTAATAACTGAAATCGGTAGGTACTGAAAAATAAAATACCTCGACGGTGACTGAAAAAACACCCAGAACTTCATATTTCAAAAACATTTATAGCAGAGGTCATGCTGTTTTAAGCAGTCAGACAAAAACAATTCTTTAAAAAAATATATTCAAGAAACATATCAGCTTTTGTTTTCTTCTTGAGAACAATATTTTGTTTGTCAATACTCCGAACACGAATTGATGAAAAGCATACGCAACCACTTATGCAGTTTTCACGACGGAGTGTTCCATTGATCCTTAATTTTCCTGGACCCTTATCGTGTTGGTAGTGCTCTTGTCTTCTAATGGTAACCATGACAATTTAAATGACAGACGATAGAAGTACCAATATTGCTAGGTCTATAAGTGTAGTATCCATATATTAAGTACAATGGTGAAGGGAATGGTTGAGTGGGTGGAAATAGTAGCTTAATTGTGGCTGAAGGACAGATAAAACAAAACAAAAACAAAAATAACAACGTCACCGAGACAACCTCTGAAATACATGCAACCAGAAGCATGTGACCAGAAGCAACCAATCACTCGTTCCCACGTCCATTGGCAAGAGCGTACGACCGTGGTATCTACTCATCACTACAGTAATAAGAACACTTCAGTGTTGCGCATCAATTGGACTCCTAGACTACTGAAAAACAATCGCTTTTGCGGAAAAATCGCAGTCTTGACAGGGGCTTCTTCAGCAATACTCTTTGTATACTCGTACACCATGTGGTTTTCTGCAGGGTGTTTAAATTTCCAGTAACCCACTATTATGCCTAGTTACATCTGTTGAACAGAAAAATAATTTTGCGATGAAAACTTCATGTCTGTATGACCCTGCCAGAGAGATTCTCAAGATAAGTTTAGTAATCATAGCAGTCCACGTCCATTGGCAAGATCGTACGACCGTGGTATCTCCTCATCACTATACAGTACTACACTTCAGTGTTGCGCATCAATTGGACTCCTAGACTACTGAAATATAATCTCTCTTGCGGAAAAATCAGTCTTGACAGGAGCATCTAGAGCAATTCTGCAAGGTGTTTAAGTTTTCAGTAACACAGTACTAGGCCTAGTTACATCTGCTGAACAGAAAAATAATTTTGCGATGGAAACTTCATGTCTCTATGACCCTGGCAGAGAGATTTTCAAGATAAGTTTAGTAACCATGGCAGTTCTAATCCTGGTTAATGGATTCCAAGGAGATCACTGTGGAAACCGCAAACACATTTCTATTGCTGCAGACAATCGTGCACTTCAGACTTTTACATTTAGAGAGGAACAGATCAAGTCTGCTGTCCGCTGTGTTAGCTACTGTCATGCTGATAACAACTGCCGATCTGTGAATTATCATAAAACAGATCAACTTTGTCAAATGAACAATCTGACAAGGATGCAATATCCTGCTGATTTCTTTACACACTACGGCAGTGTGTACTTTGATGATGATGTACACACATCTCTATTCTCTGTGCCGCAGTTCAGAGGTTGTGATGAGGTCCTTCAAGCTGGTCATAATGTGAGTGGTATCTACACGATAATCCCAGCTGGATTCAATGATGGGCTACAGGTCTACTGTGACATGGAGACTGATGGAGGGGGATGGATCGTCATTCAGAGGCGTCAAGATGGCAGCGTTGACTTCAGCCGCAACTGGGCTGACTACCAGGTTGGATTTGGCAGCTTGTCTGGTGAGTTCTGGCTTGGGAATGACAACCTACGCAGCCTGACTGAGACTGAAGGTAAGTGGCAGCTACGAATAGACTTAGAGGACTGGGAGTATAACACGGCCTGGGCTGAATATGACGACTTTCAGATTCGTGGAGATAACTACAAACTCCGAATTGACTCATACAACTCCTACAGCACTGCAGGAGACTCACTTACAAGACATAATAAAATGATGTTTTCAACTAAAGACAGGGACAATGACAGAGGTACATCTGACTGTGCCATAGAACACAACGGAGCATGGTGGTTTATTGCTTGTTATCATTCTTATTTGAACGGAAAATTTGGGCAAGGATTAAAGGTTCGGAGTGGCATAGCCTGGAAAACTTGGAGGAACAATAGTAATAATCTCAAAAGCTGTTCGATGAAAATCAAACATTTTGAAAAACAGGAAAACATTTATGTTGATTGAAAATAAAGGAATTTGATTTGATCGGGCGGGTGGCGGGCTGGGTCAGGGATGTTATTAAGTGATCCATATTTGATAAAATATAATTGTTCAAGGAAAATAAGCAGCAGTTCAATTAAGGATAAAAATGACAATAAAGGGGGGGGGGGCAAGTTTCATTTTATAAAACACGTTCGAGTATATTGATCATTGTTGGATGAAAAAAAATACACTTTGTTTCAAATTGTTAGGTGTTAAGCAAAAAATAATTTGTGAGTATTTCCAGCTGTGATTATTTGAAGCTTTATTGGACTTAAACTTGACTCAAGTCGGAATTGCCTTAAGTCGGTATCTAAAAAAAATAAGTTTAAACTAGTGGTTGTAAGAACAACCACACGATCTTGGGCCATGGATTACCGCAAACTTTGCCACACACATCAACTAAAAAAGCATGTTAAAATGCATGTTTGACTTTTTCAACATGCCGCCAGAGGGCGCTCTAACATTTGATTACGTCGCCTGTAACATTTTTTTTGTACAGTACTGTCTAGGCAGACACTCACATCGTTGAAAGCAAGTTTGCAATTTCTGCCAATTGCAAATAAAAAGGCACTTCCGGTTTCGACCGGAAGGAAGGGTCACGTGATTTTGCACTTAACACCGAAAATGAAGACCCTGCAATATTGTATCGATTGCCATAAAAACAAAAATCAAATCTGTAGCAGTTGTTTTATATTGAATTTCAAAGATTAAATCTAGAAATCTTTGATTGCTTGTAATATGATACTTGATACGTTATTACCAGAACGTTCAAGAGCTATGTTAACTGTGGTATATATAGCCAAATCTTGATTATATCTATCACGGTTGATTTTTTTGCCATTTTTGAAGGTTAAAAGATCTTTTTATTGTATTTTTCGGTTTGATGATGTAATCAATTTTTTGTCGCGAACAAGTCTTGTCTGCATTATGGTCATTATGTACATTAATTTTGAAGCGATTACCGCGATTACCGCGATTACCGCGATTAAAATGCCACTAGAGGGCGCTCCAACACTTCATGGCGTCACCCATTTTTATTTTGAAGGTCAATCCAGGCAGACACTAAAATCGTTGAAAGCAAGTTCATATCTTTTTTTCCACTTCAAAGTATTAGGCACTTCCGGTTTCGACCGAAAGGAAGAGTCACGTGATTTTACGCGCACAAGATAAAACGAAGAGCTTGTAGTATCATGTCGATTCCCCCAAAATTCAAGTTCCGGTCTCTCAAGGTTGATTTTATATGGAATTTCAAAGATTAAATTTACTACTTTTGGAGTGCCGTCACGTAATCCAAGATGACGTCATAATGACGTAATTGCAAACAACTACATCTTCAGTGGGTTGTACATTCATGAATTGACAATTGAAGTTCATATATGTTTTCATTTTGACAAACAGTTCTGGAGAAGAACTTGTCTTGAAGAAGAAAAATAACAACAAAAACAAGAATATTGAATTCATACAATTAATTCATAGAATAACAATAGGTGTTGGGCTCAAGGCCAAACACCTAAACAAAAATTACAATAATCACTTAGTTTACATCTTTCCAGAAGCACGACAAGGTGCACCTCAGCACGCGTTCCAATTCAGTGCCGTATTACAATGCGCGCACATGTACATTGTACAACACGCTGTTTCTGTCTTGTATTACGCTCGAGGACAGACCCACAAAAGGTGTGCACATGCATGTGTGTGTGCGTGTACAGATATGCGGTGCCTGAGTAAGCAATTACTGCATCACTTGAAAATAACATGTACATGTACGTTTTTAACATGATGGTCCGGAGTCGACCCAGACCTGGGCCAAGTCTATATTGGACTATGTACTGTATTGATCATTATAATTATTTGTACTTGCGGTACGGCTGAATGCAATAATATGTACTTGACCACAATCTCTGATTTGTAAACAAATGTAACATGGTCTTTACCAACAACACTCTAGGAGACTCACAGCAGCAGCCTACCATGTAAACATACCTGTATAAATGTAAATTAAAAAGTGTAGAGCTTTGTACAGGATACAAACATATACAAAATGTAATTTGATTTTTCTTTTGCAGTCACTTGTCAAATTTTTCCTTTTTTTCAGGAATTACTTTTACAAATGTGTGACAAATGATCTACATGCCAGGTGTTTGAATTAGTAAACGTTTTGTACATAGCTTGTTGCTCATTTTTGGGTTATTTCAAAAAATATCAAATCAACTGTGTATTTAGGATTTGACATGAACTGAAGACAAAATATGTTATTTGTTTGTAAGTCATTGTTATAACTGAAGTTTAAACAGGAAATTCACATTAATTTTGCAGTTACTGAAGTAATTCTCTTTTCAAGTTAACCATTTCGCGGATAACATTTGTGTGAATTGTAGCAAATCCAATGTAGATTGACTGAATTATTAAAATGAGTGAACTTGTACTGTTATACCAGACACTGTATATATTTGTATATAAACTAAACATCAATGATCGATCCAGGCTCTTGAGAGGAAATGTAGAATTATTTGCTTGTATAATCTAACGTGAAAAGAACTTTTTTTCAGTGTAAATCATTTTAAAATATCGAAAGGTTTAAAAAGACATATTACTTGAAGTGAATGACAAAGTATAGTAATGCATGCCTGGATCTATCAGTGGTTAGTGGATATACATAATTAATTAGAATATGTAAGAGTTTAATAATTACACCCTTTTTTACATGCACTGAAATATCTAAAATATGACAATAATTTTCACTGCACAAAATAAATTATCGGCCAGAATGTTATTTTGATCTGTGTTTTAACAAACGTAAGGTACTATGCTGTTCAAATTAGTGAGGCAAGCTATGTTAGGTAAAATTTATGGTGTATTGTTATAAAAATTAGTGTTTAAAACTGTTGGTATTGTGTTAAAATATGGTATTGTGTTAGATAGTTAGTTAGTGAAAGCAGCGATCTTGGCTGAAATAACTGGTACCATGCTGGTAAAATTATAGTGTTAGATATAGATGAAATGTTTGGAACTTAAAAAATCAGTACGCATAGACCTTATGCGTTAGGGCGGAGTCAGAGAGCAAAGGTTTCGTATCACGGGCAAAGGCATGAGCAAACACTTTGAGAATTGTTGTAAATATATTAATATAACAATGAACAACCTCTGAAATACATGCAACGCAAAAGGTCTATTGTTTGTCAAGGCGGTTGAAAACAATTCGTTTAGGTGTAATTTGGATTAGATTATCAATCCAAATGTTGAGCCAGACTTTTTCTAATGTTCACAATGTCTGAAAATATTTTCTTAGATTGAGATAAACTCACCGTGGTTCTACTAATTTACTATGTGAAGACATATATATGTTGTATTGCACCTTACACTGCACAAACTTGTTTGAAAAAATCAATGATTGATCCAGGTTCTTAAAAATAATATATATATTGGGATTTTGTTATATAACTCGAAACATGTTTGTAATTACACTAAGAAAATAAGTTTTAATTGGAGTGAAAAAAAGCCCAATCTATATTCATTAAACAAAGAACTATGTCTGGATCCCTCAATGGTTGGCGTATATTTCAAAATACATTTAATATTTAAGACTTAAATTATTGCACTGATTACATTGCAAACTGTTGATAATTTGCACAGCACAAAATATTTTATCAGACACAATGTCACTGATCGACTTATGTAATACTTGCTGTAAATTATGGCAATTTCAATTCAATAGCATTTATGACAAATGACTATGACACTGATAACAAATTCTTTAGACCACGGGTAATTGGGGATTTGTGACTTCATTAAAACCAGAAAACAAAGTATCGTGTTCAATTCTTTACTCTTTAGCCAACTGTAGTGGTGTATGGAATTGTCATGTTTATAGCAAGAAAGTTGAGGAATCAATAAATACTCAGTTGATACCGGTCTGGTATATTGGTTTCAACATTTTGTCCATTTTTCAGATGTTAACTTACTGCCTTTAGGTCTGCCCAGGATGTCTTATGTTACGCCCATATCACCAGCCTAGCTCCGCCCCTCAAGAGGTCGTATTGCGAGAAATCAGACATCAGACGTTTTGTACCAATCACATCACATGTTTTGGGTATTATTGCTCACTTCTGCTATAAACAAATGATATACAAAAACAAATAATACAGAATCCTTAAAAAATAAACTCCAATGGGCAAAACTTTATTATGGACTTGTGATTTATAAATCTACATAAAAGAATAATATAAAATCTACCAAATGACAGTCAGCTAGTCGTAGTACCAAATTGCCGCTAATACCAAATATGTCAAATGTTAAATATTCATCTTGTACATTGTATTTCTTCACACAACTTACTTCTACTGTTATACTCCATGCCACCTTCCCTTAAACAAACATAGTAAAGTTTACTTCAACCCCACTCTGTCTAGCTCCTAATTTACTAAAAGCAGTTAAAACAGTTACCAAGACAACATCATACCATTGCCATGGAAATCTGTACCGACCCTTCATGGTGTGAAAACCTTGTCATTCAAGACCAAGTAAAAACTGAAGTTTAATACAGTGGCCGTGAATACAAACGGGGGGGGGGGGGGGGGGGGATGCAATCTTCCTCTGAGGGCGCTGTTCAAAGCAGACGATATTACTGACAATAGTCGCCCTTTTCATTGCGGCAATTATTGCCGACGTTCGCCCGAAGCTTCAAAAAGGGCACTCGTCAGAATTAGCGCTCGTGTGAAAAAAATGGGCACTTGTGAAAAAAAGGGCACTCGTTCGTTACAAATAAATGCGGGGGAGGGTAATTACCCCCATCCCCCCCCCCCCCGACACGGAGATAAGTCGGTTAGTTAACACAATACTTTGCGATTTCTGCATTTCCTGCCCAACATTTGTCCCTAGGGCGCCCTCTCCGCGAACAAGTATTGTAGCGGAAAGTGTAGGGACTTATAGCTAGTTTATTAACAACGTCATCCCTATTGCACTAACGTAAATTCACTGTGTGTTGGTGACTGGGCGGAGCATAAGAGCCCAGTGGCTGAATGCGCGTACGCTATTGGTTGCCTAAGGCCCATAGGTTTAGTGCATGCATTTGTGTTTGTGCGGCGTATGCATGTTCACGTGAGGGCTATTCACGTGATCGCGCGAAGGAGTTGTGCTGTGGACAGCGGACGGTACGGTCGTGTATTGCTCGCGTTCTGTGTTTTGGGTAATGCTGACGCGCACTGTGTAAGGCGCTGGCCCTGACTGTGCTGAAGTTACGCTGTGTGATGCTGACGCGCAGCCGTACAAGTGAATGTACGGTACGATGTTGACCCTAGCTTGCATGGGTAAGGCGTAAATCAGGTTAAGGCTGACAGCGTGTATTACTTACATTGGCGTGCATTGCTTACATTGGCGTGTGTTATTTACATTAGGTACATTGTTTACTTAGGTACATTGTTTACTTAGGTACATTGGTTACTTAGTGTACATTGGTTACTGAGTGAACGTTGCTGACTTAGTGTGCATTGTTTACCGCAGTGTACATTGTTGACTAAGCCGTGCATTGTTTACATTAGTGTACATTGTTGACTTAGCAGTGCATTGTTTACAATGGGCGCATTGTTCAAGCTGTGCGCGTTGCTGCTTAGTTGAGCTGTCAGTTAACTCCCAAGTGTAATTAAGTGACCCTGATAATTAACAACCTCATTAAGACTCAATCACTACTGCCTATTTCTTGATTATTGTATAATAAATTACATTCATATTTGTTGTGCCGACAATCCTGTTGTCCAGGTGTATTTGTTGTTGGTTTATTGTGCAATTAACAGTGGGTAATCACAATCATCATAATCGGCGGTATATTTCCTCCAAAACGGACCTGCTCCCTAGGCCT